TCCCCCCCTCCCCCCGACCGCCGCTGCCATCTCGTCCGCCATGGTCCAGTTGATCGCAAGGCCGGGGCGCAACGCCGCTCGCCAGGCGAAGAAGGCGAGGGAGATCCGACACGTCAAGGGCGCCATCGTCTGGCACGAGAAGAAGCGAGTAGCGCGCAAGGAGCTGATGAAGGCGCAGTGGGAGGCAAAGCAGACGTGGATGCAGCGACAGAAGTGGGAGCATGAGAACATCACACAGGTCAAGCGCAAGGCCCTGCGCAACGCCGTCGAGGACTGGAAGCTCGGCTCGCTGAGGCCCAACCGTGCCGTCAACGTCGCGGACGGGAAGTACGCTGTCGTCGTGCCCACTCAGGTGCAGAAGCCCGAGATCCCCACCAAGATCCAGGCGAGGACCAACGAGGCCCGGGAAAAGAAGGGCTGCGCGGCCGAGTACCCGCTGGTCGTCGACGACAAGAAGTACTTCCCCATCGTCAAAGGCGACCGTGTCGTGGTGACGAAGGGCAAGGAGAAGGGCAAGATCGGGATTGTCATGACTGTGGTCCCTAGGACACACGAAGTTATCGTCACGGGTATCAACATGGTGCGTAGAACAAGCAGTGCGCGATGTGTCGAACGCCAGACTGACGGGAACAGGCCTACTATGACTCGAAAATCTTCAACGCTGGCGCCCAAGACATCGGCCCCAGGCGCGAGAGCGAGATGCCAATCGCAATGGACGACGTCCGTCTTGTTGTACCCTACGCCTCCACATCGTTCAGCCGCAGCGGGCAGAGCATCTACGAGGATGTCATCGTCGACAAGGTTCTGTTTGAGCGCCACAGCACTGGCATTGACCCCTTCACCGGCACCGACTACGGCAACGCCGAGATCCCCAAGCAGCACCAGTACGACCCTGAGACCGGCCTCCCCATCTTCCACCGGTACATCGCCGGCACACGCTACCGGATTGCATGGCCGTGGGAGACTGAGACAAAGGCGGCGGACAGCACCCTTCCAACACCCAACAAGAAGGCCGCCCAGGGCTGGCTATCAACGACGCTGGGCACGCTCCGCCACCCCATCACTACCCTCCAGAGCTGGCGAAACCCCACAAGCAAGAAGCCGGCTAAGCGCGCACCCTCCACCCTTCCCCTCTCCACCCAGGTCGAGAACATCGAAGCCAGCGAGGCTCGAAACCAGCGTCGCGCCGTTCTCCGCAGCGAAGACCCCAAGCACAAGGACGCCCACGACGTAGTCGACACAACACGCAACATCGTCGAAGGCTCCGATTCAATGAGCTACACACTCGTTGCTCCTCCCTTCCCCGACACCCTGAGCCAAGAACTGCGCGGCGACGTCTTCGAGATGACCCAGACCGCCCGCCACGATACCGACGCACCGTACAAGCCCATTCGCGGCAAACACGTGAGCCCCAAGGCACAAGCAGCGCAGGCGTTTGCGCAGAAGAAGGCCAGGGCTGCCGAGCGCATGAAGACCCCCATGCAGCTGAGGTGGGAGCAGGAGCAAGCGAAGAAGAAGCTTGCGAAGAAGGAGGGCCCGGCTGTGGATACCGAGACGCTGCTTGCGGCGCTGGGGCAGCACATGTCTGCAAATGGCGTAAAGCTGACCACCAAGAGGAGGGCAGCCAGTCAGGTTGAGGAGCTCGATTAGACGGGCTAGGTGAGGTTACAAGGGGTTTTGCATTTGCATGGGTGAGGCTTGTCACTTGTAGCATATTGTAGATAGATATATAAGACGTTGGGTTCGCTTTTTTTTTTATTTTTTTTTGTACAGTAAAGGTGGGCGGCATGAGGTTGTAGGAATGCATCGAAGACTGAATGAATATCACACATGTGTTTCATGGCTATTCATTGGGTATCGTATGTAAAACGCCGCGTATGCACGCCTTCCTCATCCTCGTCCAACCTGCTGTCACACGAGTATACCGCAGTACTCCGCCCGCCCAGCATACCCCTCCAGCCCCTCCCACTGCACAAGAAACCGATCCACAACCCTGACCAGCAACTTCCCACTCAAACTCAGCGTCCTGACCCGCGCGAAACTCTCCACATACACGGTCCGACACAGCCCTCGGCTCTCAGCGCCCCGGACGTTGAAGAAGCGCAAGATAAAGGCTGCGAGGATGAGGATGACGGCTGTGGCGGGGCCGTTGGTTATGATCAGCGTTGGAAGATCCGACTCTGACGTGCCGAGCAGGGGGTGGAACGCTGCGAGGAGCGTTTGAAGCGCGGAGAACGGCGTGGTGTAGAGTGGTTGATGTATCCTCCTCGCCCTCGGTATGGTAGCAATCGTATAGCACTCCGGACCCACACAGTGCCATCGCTCCTCCCTCCTCTTCGTCTCCTTCCTGCCATTCCGAGCAATCTGAGGCGCACCTCCCTCCGCTGCAACCGACCCTTCCTCTCCGGCCTGAGCGCGCGCTGTCCGTTCCTCCAGCGCTTTCTCGAAAGCTCCGGCGCGCTGTGCGCTGAATGCGTCGCCGCTGCTGACTACGTAGGTTCGGTGTGTGTACTTCCGCGAGTCGAGGTCTCGAAGCAGAGCGAACATCTCGTGCGTGTGACCGCCCGAGCCTAATACCACGAGGACGCGCGCAGTGGTTGGCCGACCGCGCAGTTGCGCCTTACTTGGTCGTGCATTGGGCAGGATTGCAAGCAAACGTAGCGAAGCGGCAACGAAGAGTGTAACGAGGAGCGCAAGAGCGAAGGAGAGCGTGTAGAGCGAGGAGGGCGGGGGCGCCATTTGTGGAGTATGGCGACCGATAGTCGATGGGATGGAGTGATGGTAGGGAATGATGAAATGGAGTACTACAGCTTGAGCTTGCTGGAGTGTTTCCGTATGATTAAGCGGGACATTGCTGAAGTTGGGGTCGTGGTGTTGGTGGTGTTGTATGGAGCTCAAGTACGTGTCGTAGCCATTGGCCAATGGGATTACAGGTGCTGAGACGCGATGTCACATGGGCATGTCGAAGGATTATCTGTACACTGCACTGGCTTCTGGTACATCTTGTGATATATGGAAATAATCACAGCCTTGGAACGGAATCGCACTTGCTCAAACACTCTCAATGATTCTTCTGAAAGCGCTCGAAAGACAATTCCCACAACTTCTCTAACGCTCTCCAGCCATTACCTACTCTCTTCCACCTCCGTCTACAGCTGATACCTGTAGTCTGGGTTCAAATCACCCAATTCCGTCTTCTCGTACTCCGTCAAGCCGACGTCTCTTACACTCTTCTCCCTCGATCGATTCTGCCACGAACATGCGACAAAGTACAGGCAGCAACTGAGCGCACTGAAGCACACAAAGGCGATAGAGATCGAGTATCCCGGAATGTATCTTGGGGCATCCTTCTTCAGAAACGCGAATACAGCGATGATTCCGCCAATGTTGCCAAAGCCGACCTGCCATGCAGATCCTACAGAGCGACGATGGTGGCCACCAAGATTCATGTTGAACTACAAGAGGTAAGTCTCAGAACGTTCAGGTAGAAGGTGGCTTGATGACTTACCCAACAAACAATGACAGGCATAGCAGTGTATGCGCCCATAGCGACCAGGAACAATGCCGCATACTGAAGATCCGGGTTGTTGTGGACCGAGATGAGAATTGCAAAACCCGTGATGCAAACACAGATCGGGAAGATGGTGAACAAGAATCGGTGCTTCAGTCTGTCGGAGAACCACGCGACCAACATGGAGAAGCCGAAGGCCGCAGCCCACGGCGGAACGGAGTGCAGTTGAGTCTGAATGGGACTGTAGCCGTAAGACTGGATGATGGCCGGGCTGAAGTACGCATAACCATATGCCGGGACGATGAGACCAAAGTACATGAAGCCGCCAATCGTGACCTTCGGGTCCTTGAAAACGCGCCCAACGTCGCCGATTGTCATCTTTCGATCGTGTGCAGACTTGCCTTGATCGATCTGCAGACGCGCTTTGATGAAGGCGCGCTCATCCTCGGAGAGCCACTTCGACTCCTCGGGAAAGTTGGGCAGCATGAAGAAGAAGAGGAATGAGACAATGACGGTAAGAAGGCCCTCGAGGATAAAAATCCAACGCCAGCCTCTGTAGCCCCTCAAACCATCCATTTTTCCGATGGCACTGGCAAGCAGACCTCCGAAAGCGCCGGCGAGAGTGGTTGAAGAAAAGAAGAATGAGTAACGCTTCTGAGCTTCGTGGCGACGATACCACATGCCAATAAGGTAGAACGCTCCAGGGAACATGCCCGTTTCGCAAACACCAAGGAAGAAGCGCGTAGCCAGAAGACCGGAGTAGTTCTGGACGAAGCCTTGAAGCATGGTGACGAGTCCGAAGCCAAACATGCAGATGGAGAGCCAGACTCTTGGCTTGAGCTTCTTCAATATGACATTGGAAGGGATTTCGAAGAGGATGTACGGGACGAAGAAGATGACCAAAGCAATGTTGTAACGGTTGCTGTGTAAGTCAAGATCCGTCGAGAGACCGAATACATTGGCGTTGGCAATGTTGACACTGATGCTGTTAGTTGACGCAGTTCCAAGGGCTCTGCATCACATACCGGTCCAAGAAAGCTAGCAAATACATGACACAGAGGAACGGAATGACGTGGAGATCGATTCTCCGGACCAACTTGGCCTCGGTCGTGTGCGGCGGGCATTGAGCGAGCTCGGGGACTTCTTCATGATAGTTGCCATCGTACTGTGGTGCTGCCTTCTGTCCATTGAGATCTGGAGACGCTTGAACGTCCTCTGTGTGTCATTAGCCGGTATTCTCGAGCATTGTAGCTTGTGGGCCGGTCTGTCGCCAGGATTGCATCTATAAAGAATGTACAGATGTAAAGCAGTGAAAACTTGACTCACTCTCTTTCTTGGAAAACATCTTGGGACGGTAGAGACGTCGTTGGTGTGACTGAGAGGTCGTGAACTCAGTCTGTCGATATCTTGCTGTTCTGGCTTTTTGGACCACGCGGTTGGTCACACTAACAAGCTGCAGCGATCACTGCCGTACCACGTTTGCACCTGCGCTTGTGAGATAAGGAGGAAAGGAGATGAATTGCAGACAGAAAGTTTAACAATCACCAGCCATCCTGCCCGCTACTATGGCCGAGGTCGCAGGATTGCCATCAAGGTCACCTCGCTAACTCCACGGTTTTGTGGGGTGGTTTACACGAAGGGTGTCCACAGATGGCCCAAAGAGGCAGCTGTTTATGCTCTTCCCCAAGCTACGAAGGCGTGGCTGGCCGACCCGGTCGATCCGCATGTGCACATCACTGTGCTGACATCCTCGCGTCAATTATAAGTCTTTGTTTAGACCGAGTCAAAGGCCGAAGCGGGGAGGACAGATACGAAAATCAGCACCTGGCCGCCGCCGTCGGTATGACGATGAAAGGATGCAACTTGGCGTTCTATCGGATGTTACAATAGGGTCGACGGCTGTGGCGCAGAAAGCCAATTGAAAGAAGGTTAGGCGGCTTTGTTCGGAACGGCATCGGCGCAAGATTGTGAGTTGATGGGCGCGCATACTTTGTGTGAAAAATTGTGCAGGAATTCACAAAGGCCCGACTTTGCGCCTCCCCAAACGCTGCTTCCATGGTGAGGCGCGTGTATCATGTCAAGTGAAGGACGGAAGGTAAGGTCACGTTGGGTAGGGTTGGATCCGGGCGCCTCTCGGCGGAGTCTGGCCTGGTTCCGAGCTGGCACTTCACAAGGCGCTGGGGCGACGCTCGAATCCCTCAACGTCGACTTTTCGGTCGACCTTTCATCCCCTTCCCTACACTCACCTTTCAGCCTCAACACCGGGAATTTGCGCACCTTCATGCCACAACAGCACAGCTTCTGGATACTACAGTGCGCCGGCAACGCTCCCTTTCGTTCTCAGTGGCGGGCAGGCTGATCAGCCATGGTGAATGTAAAGAATGTCGCCTTCAAAGTCAATAAGCAGACACCAGTCTCCCAGACACCTCCCCAGGCATATGGCACGGTCATCAACTGTCGAAAGCCGGGCGGCAAGCGGGCCTTCAAAGAGATGAAGGAAGTGCGGTCGCACTCCGTCCTTCTTACCAATGTTTCTGGCACCAAAAAGCGCAGACGAGATCAGCGAAAGAGCGAGGAACTCCAAAGTCAGATGAAATTTATCCCGTCCTCACCAGCGAACGCACAGGCTGCGCTAGCGGCTCTACGACAGGATGACCAGCCCCTCATCACCCAGAAGCTGAAGCAGATCAAGCCCACTAGGTTCAGGAAGGGCAAAATTTTAGAGAAGGGATTCGATCTGGACTGCTGGTTCACCATACTATCGTTTTCGGATCCTGCGCAACTATTGGAAATGCGCCTGAAAATCCCATCGTGCTTTCGCTTCCTAAGGGACAACCCTAAGCTTTGGGTCCACAGCCGAAACAACTACTACGGGGACGACATGCCAGGACCACCTTCAGGTCTGAACGAATTCCAGTATGCGCATCTTCGACATGGTCATGGCTGCATGGGTTGCGGTGCGCCGAGTACACGCAAGACGTACTGGGCATTTCTTCGTCGATGGTGTAAGACCTGCCTGCAGTCCAAGACAGTCAAGGAGCACGATGCGTTGATCATCATGCGTGCTGCAGGCGTTGACGACGTCAGTTTTCTTCGCAGATGTCTTCCCTCTGGTGTCTTTGATTCTTGGGGTAATTTTGTTGGCGTTGGACCGGCCAGTACACATTCACTTAAGACGATCTACCTACTTTCGGAAGTGCAGAAGCTCGACAACGAAGTCCGAGACGCTGCTGCACTCTACCCGGAGACGTGGTCCGTCGAAATACGATCACGCATGGCTCAGAAGTACGCTCTTGTGGACGACCGCCGCGCTTTCGCGCGGAAGATGGAACTTTGGGAGGAAGCAATCCGCAGCAACAAGGCCAGCGACTATCAGGCAAAGAAGGCGGCGCGCAAGGCATATTTTGAACACAAAGCATCACAACTCGATCCGCCGATTAGCTTGAAGGAGATGGAAGCTTGTCCCTCCTACCGTCGTGCCATCGCTATCCCCAAGGATCCCAACAACACGTCTTGGCAACAACTCAAACCAAAGCTCGAGAAGGAAGCCCTAGAGTTGAAACATGGACGACTATCTACTCCAGAGACACGACTAGGCACATCGTCGGCATCAGCTTCGGGTACCTCAACGCCGAACAGCATGCTGGCCCCCCAGCCCTACCAGCACCCCATACCAGGAGTACCAGCTCTTTTCTTGCCTCTGCCTCACAACCACCACCAGCACTATCCCTATCCGCATCCACCTCCGTATTGATTCCTCGGTCATGTCGTCACATAGTTTTCTCATTTGTTGTTTTTAAGGGTTCACAGTCGCATAATCTGGCATGGAGTTGGTGGTTCATAGCTTCGGCGCAAACAGACGGGGCATTGCATGCATGGCGTCAATGGGGTCAACATTGACGAATCCTTGGGGGATAATTTGGGATGTTTCAGTTTGGTAATTGGGTGGAATGGTTTATACTCACCGGCTGCCAGGCCGCATCAATACACATTGTTTTACTCACCATGGCCCTGCATTGTGGTGCTCATACATACTTGCTACCTCCGCGCCTTTAGTATATTTACACACTCGCGCCTTTTGACATATGGAAGGAACACTCAAGGTCAGCTGTACAGACTTGCTCAGCTGCTATCACAGCATCACATGCAGGTTGCACGAGTTCTGGAGAACCATGTTCATCCCACTCTTTGCCGCACCGGGGAGACGACGGCATGTGGGCACGGCGAAGGGTCTCCGCAGTAACAGCTTACAAAACCTGAGAGCCGATTTGTTGCCGAGGGTGGATCGGGTGGATACCATCGTGCTCCAGATTCACAACAACAGAGATCCCCTTGAGTTGGAGACGGGCAACATCAAGAGGATGTAGATAGAACCGATATGAATATATCCGCCCCTCATGCAAGATGCACGTTGGACTGGCACCTCCGCAGAGCCTCGTTTACCCCTCGTCTAGGCCCAGCCCTGCGTTGATCCAGTGGCACCCAGCCAATGAGACGATCAGGAGAGCGGATGAGTTGGAGTGGGTTTGGGAGCTACGAAACTGCCAGCATCCCCCAAGTTCGGGCAAAACAAAACCTCCTTCGCGTATGCATGATATGGAATCGTTATTCATGACCGGTCAAACATGGCATCTTTCTCTCTGACAGATGTCAAGACCTCGGATCCCGTAATCACTGCAGTCCAGACGATGAGCAATTGTAGAGCCGCTGATTGGCCGGTCGGCACGAATGCCCCACTTCTTTATCGCGTTTTCTAGAAATGTTGCCATCTTTGCTGCTTCGGATAACTTGTCCCTTATAAGCTTCTGCGCCCTTGCCGTTTGATCATCTCCATCCTCACTTTCTTTGATACCCTAAGCTTTCCCTTTGGCTGCCATTGAGCACTACCGCCTATTCATTACCCCACAATTAGCACAGTACGATCACCGGTACACCACCCGAGGCCACACCACCACAATGGCATCTGCCTCGCGAACCTTCTCCCGCGCTCTGCGTACCGCCGCTCCCTCCCTCCGCTCTACCACCACACGCTCCGCGCGCTTCGCTGCACCGGCTCAGAATGCTTTCCGTAGCAAGCAGTGGCAACGCGGCTACGCCACGGGCAACGAGGAGCCCACAGACAAGTACGAGGGCAACCCTACTGGCATGTTCGTCGGTGCCGGTGCTCTGCTGCTTGGTGCTGCCGGTTACGCTGCCTACACCTACAAGCCTGAGTTGCTAGGCCTCGAGGGCAAGCCCAAGGCTCCCTTCGTTCCCCGATTTGAGAACTACCAAGAGGTCTACAACCACATTGCGAAGCTGCTCGAGGAGCACGATGACTACGATGATGGCAGCTATGGCCCCGTCCTGCTGCGTCTGGCATGGCACGCTTCTGGAACGTAAGTACCATGATGGTGTCTCTGAGCATGAACAGCTTCTAACGAGACACAGCTACGACAAGGAGACAGGAACGGGCGGTTCCAACGGTGCCACTATGCGCTTTGCCCCCGAAGGCGACCACGGCGCCAACGCCGGTCTGAAGGCTGCCCGCGACTTCCTGGAGCCCGTCAAGGAAGCCTTCCCCTGGATCACCTACTCCGATCTCTGGATCCTCGGCGGTGTCGCCGCAATCCAAGAGATGCAGGGCCCCAAGATCCCCTACCGCGCCGGCCGCTCTGACCGCGACCTCTCCTTCTGCACACCTGACGGCCGTCTGCCCGACGCCTCCAAGGACCACAGCCACATCCGCGCCATCTTCGGCCGCATGGGCTTTGACGACCGCGCCATGGTCGCTCTGTCCGGGGCTCACGCTCTGGGCCGTTGCCACACTGACCGCTCTGGATACTCTGGTCCCTGGACATTCAGCCCCACTACTCTCACCAACGACTACTTCAAGCTGCTGATTGAGGAGAAGTGGCAGTACAAGAAATGGAACGGCCCCAAGCAGTTCGAGGACGTCAAGACCAAGACCTTGATGATGCTGCCCACCGACATGGAGATTGTCAAGGATAAGAGCTTCAGGAAGTACACTGAGCTGTATGCCAAGGACAACGATGCTTTTTTCAAGGACTTCTCAAACGCTGTTGTCACACTGTTCGAGCTTGGTGTGCCGTTTGAGCACCCCGAGGACCAGAGGTGGGTCTTCAAGAGCTCGTTTGACTAAGCGTATCTGAGCATTGGGAGATGTGTGAGTGTGGAGGATTTCATTTGATGTCGAGATATCCAGCTAGGTCAACTAGACCATTGCTTTGTGCGAGATGAAGGAAATAATGTCCATGTTTCTTCGATTCAGAGTCGCTTAGACTGCACCAGTACGATAGAGAAAGAAATATACATATATATATATATGAACACTGTGTATTGCCTTGAGTATATGTTGACTTGTCTTGATATGTCAGTGGTAGCTTCTGCCCTACGCACAGCTCACACAGGGCGTAAGATAGATATGTACGTCAAGCCCTCCCACTGCACATCCGACTGAATATGTAAAGCCCCACACTCGTCGCCCATAGAACGCTACGTAACGTAAGCAAACAGTGGAACGAAGTGCATCCTGATACTCAGTCTTGCAGGAAGGTATGTGCAAGCTGGTTCTGCTTTCTCTCCCACCACGCCTTATGCTCCTTCTCCAGTCGCTGCAAATCCGCGACATGCTGCTTTCCCAGACCTGCGATCTTCCCTTCGAGTTGCTGAACCTCTCCCGAAGGCAGATCAGGAATAGCAGGAATCGGCTTCTTCTGGTGCCCTGATGTCTGAAACAGGAATCCTGGGAACAGGCTTATCATATCCGGGCCAGCGAAGGACACACGCTTCCTCTTTCCCTTTCCCTTAGCTGAGCTGTCATGCTCAGGGACGAAGGGTGTCGACTCAGCCTTGGACGCAGGGGAGAAATCGTTCACATCAGTATCAGCAGTAGACAACAGAGCTGCTATATCATTCTCGCCCAGACAGGCAATGCCTAGCTGGAAGACCTCGGCCACAACGCCTTCCCACTGACGCTGCAACTCCTTGATCTGCTGCATCTCGGCTCGCATGTGCTCTTCGAATGACTGGAATCGGTCGTACAAGGTTGTCTGAACACGCTCGATCTCGCCCGAGGTCTTTATTCTCTGAAAATTGTAGCGGTAGCCGGAGAGAGGGTTGCAGAGCTTCTGAACGATGCGCTGGTACTTGGCGGGCGCGGTGAGCTTGAGTGGCGAAGCTTGGGAGCCACTGTTGGTAGGGTCCGAGGAGGCGACTTGGAGATTGCTTTCATATAATTTGTTTAGGAGTGTGTCGAGGTCCTTGCGGATCTTGGCAACAGCGGTAGAGTAGAGGTGGCGGCGGTACTCTTCACTTGTCTCTGGAGCACACTGTTAAAGCTCTCCTGGGTAACAGAGACAGTGATGTACCTTTGAAAGCCAAGGCGAGTGCATGCACCTCTTCTTCCGGTCTCTTCTTGTTCATCTTCTTCACCGTCGACTTCTGTGGGCTGCGGGAGCTGGATCGTAGTTGGGCTGTGTCGAGCTTTCGCTTCTTGAAGACTGCAGCTGCAGAGATGGTGACTGCCTTCGCCGGAGGCTTACTGAGGTTCGGCGTCTTGAAAGCATCTCGATTGCGTAGCTGTATCGCTGAGGTCGCACCTCTGCCGTCCATCGCTGGCGGGAAGAGGTGGGGCGGGCTGGTTGCGGTGAGGTGAAGTGTGGTGGAGCGAACGTAACCAAGCGGGACGTAGGGAGGAAGGTACGCTCGAAAATCAAGGAACCTCGAACACGATGACCGGTACAGAAAACAACAGAGAAGACTACAACTTCAAGCAAGATATCAGAGCTGCAATACTCACGATGCCAAAATTCGTGCGCATTTATTGCTAGACTCGAAGTATCTGTACATTTTATGATACATCGGTCAAGCTGCGAGGCCAAAACGTGCTTCCGAGCTGTATGGTACAATCATTATGTTTATCCTCTCTTTGACCTCTTCCTCTTGATGAACGAAGCTCTTACTTCTGCTCGCCCTCAGCTGGCACAACAACGTTCTTCTCCTCGAGCATCTTCGCCAGCGAACCATCCTGGTGCATAGTCATGAGGATATCGCAACCACCAATGAACTCCTTATCGACGTAGAGCTGGGGTATCGTGGGCCATTCCGAGTACTCCTTGATTCCTGTCGCATTTGTCAGTTTCCATTGCTCACGCCACCTCTTGAGACCTCAAAGCTCTGCAGCTGGAATTGCGCAAGTAACGTACCTGCTCTCAGCTCCTGATCCTCGAGCACATTGAACGCTGTAAACTTGTCCGGGTCCACACCCTGCATGCCCAGAATCTGTATGCTCGCCCTCGAGAACCCACACTGCGGTGTCTCTGGGGTACCCTTCATGAACAACACAACGGGCGAGGAAGCGACGGCGCGGTCAATTGCGCTACGAACTTCATCGGAGAGGCATCGGATTTGGAAGGGTGTGAGGAAGCGTGCGCTTGGGGAGGCACGGGCGAAGGTTGCGCGGGTGGCGGTGCGGAAGGCCTGGTGTTGTTAGGCACTGATTACGTATGACAGGAAGCTGTGTATAGCTACATACTTGAGGAATAACACGTCTTGAGAACATTGTGAGTCGTGTGAGTGCTTGGTGATGGATGACGACACCTCCGAGGCTGTTCGCCGCAAATTCACGGATGAGGTAATCGGAGCTAAGAACTCATATCACTGAACCCTCATTGGTTGCTGCCACCATGTTGAAGTATACATAAGGCTGAGAAGAGAGTAATTAAACCGTATAGCTCTGATGTGATTATCTAATGGAGCAGAAGCACGTTAGGAACACGACCGAGAAGCCAAAGTTTGTAGTGGTAGTCATTCGTCTATTCCCATGACATACTATATACAGAAAACATCGCTCAAGGCTTTTGATCCGCCTATATCTGAAACATCCGCACATTTTTGGTCTATCCAACCTTGCAGAACGAAACACAATCTGTTCGCCAAACCGTTTACTGCTCATTGACGACGTAGCCCCACTCGTGGCTCTCCATGCCATCGCTTCCCCACATGATGCCCTTCAGCCATGTCCTGACAACGTCAGTGTAAACACCAATCTGGCCCTTGGCCATAGGGACATCGATGTCATTGCCTCGGAAGTGAATCTGGCTGATCGGGGTCACGAACCAGGCTGTGCCAGTAGCGAAAGCCTCGACAAGACGACCCTCTTTAGCAGCCTCCTCAAGCTCGAAGATGTTGAACTTATGCTCGACGACCTCGAGGGCCTCGAGATCCTCGTGACCGGGTGCCAGCTTGGTGCGTGCGAGTTCGAGGATGGATCGGCGTGTCACACCATCAAGAACGATGCGCTCCTTCAGATCAGCAGTAACGATCTGCAACTTGCCCTCCCTTGTGCGCCAGACAACAAAGAAGTTGCTAGCACCAGCCTCGGTTACAGTGCAGTCTTCGCCGAACAGCCAGAGAATCTGGTGGTATCCTCTCGCTCTCGCCTCGCCCTGTGCAACGAGAGAAGGTCCGTAGTTCGCACCGACCTTGGCGTAGCCGAAACCTCCTGGCCAGGCACGGCACATGTCATCCTGAGATGCGAGGAGCTTCATTCCACCGGGCAAGTCACCCGTCGGCGCGAAGCAGCACAGGATGACAAAGAGAAGGGCCTCTTTTGGTCGCTCAACACCGAGAGCTGGGTCTGAGGCAATCATTGTGGGACGGATGTACAGGAAGCTGCCAGGGCGATCCTTGGGGAGCCACTTGGCGCCATCAGTCTTACACAGCTTGACGATCAGCTTGAGGAGCTCCTTGGGCGGGAAAGCAGGAAGAGCGATACGGTTTGTCGACATGAGCATGCGGTTGCAGTTCAGGTCCGGGCGGAACAGGCGAAGCTTGCCATCGTGGCCGCGGTACAGCTTCATTCCCTCGAAGCATTCGGTCGCGTAGTGCAGGCATGATGCTGTGGGTGCCAGGGAAAGAGGTCCGTAGGGTTGCAGAGTTGGTGCGGCCCACCCTTCCTCAGCGGTCCATTTGGCCTGGATCATGTGGTCGGTGCAAACTTTCTGAGAGGCCATCTCTGCTGAGCCCAAGGCAGGGACAGATCGTGGGGCTTCGGTGTATGTGCATTGTACTTTCGAGGCATCGAGCTCAGCAAGAGGTGACTCGTCAATCTGTGCGTTTGTTTCCCGCTCTGGTGGCAGTGTGGCGGTGATGGTGTTTGTGAGGGATGCCGATTTCAATTGCGAAACGGCGGACTTCTCAAGAGCGTGCTGGATGCCGGACTTTGTGAGGTCAGTGACGGACTCGCCGTCGTTGGAAGGTGTCAGGACAATGGAAGGCATAGTGGCTGCGGGAACGGATATGCCCTGGGGTATCAATGGCAGGTGCGAGTCTACTCTGATGTGAAAGGCAAGAGTTGGGGAACGCGTCTTATAAGGACAGAAAGTTTGCAAAAAAGAGTCACACCTTCCTATCACGCGGAGAAGTCCAGACTAAAACTTGTCAGGACGGAAGACGGAGTACCGCGGGACTTAGGACACTAGTCTTCCTTGCATCAATGGCGGTGTTCGATAAAGAGAGACGTTGACGAAGTTCTGCGTGGACCCTGACCGCGGCCTTAATAATTTTGTGCGGTTCAAGATCGCTCGGTACCGCCAACTGACAGTCTTCCACGTCCAGCTTTGGTCAAAACTGCCGTGTGGCATATCGAATTCTTCACAGCCATGACGAAATTTCTATCTAAAGGCCAAGCAAGTCGGAAAATGTTCCTGCAGGGCGTGTTGCGGTAGGGCGCGCGGTCACGCCCTGCGGTATCCAGCACCGCTAGCCCTGGAGTATCCGCGTACCGTATCGCCGGTATTCCTCCGATTGCTGGATGCACGAACGACTCACATTCAGCCTCACGAGTCACACTCCGGTTCGGACGTGGTTGATCACTTTGATACGCTGATCACTGCACAGTTCTAACAGCGACATCGCAGCTGGCATGCATCTACAGTGAGGGTAGTCGAAGGAGGAGTGAGTTAGACGGAGAGGCAGCTCGGCTTAAGGTGCGGTTCAGTCTAGTGGAGGCAACGGCACAACGACACAGAAGGATCAAGTGGCCAGGGATGCAAGCAAACTTGAGCAGCAGGGGGGATCCAGTTTTGCAAGATTGAAAAGGAAAGTCAGATCTTGAGATAAGCCTAAATACCGGGAAGTGCATAGCTTCGTGCTGAACATACCGCTGGTAGCCTGGCCATCTATATCCGCCTCACCGATTTCCCAATACGAAAGAATGATCTAAGACGATGCCTCAGCCATTGGACCAGGTTGTCGGAGACCGTCAATGCCTTTCAGAATGCCATCTGCGACTTCGCCCACACGTCCTTCTAACGCATTAAAATCCATCTTGCTGATTGCAGCGTTGATCTGCTCCATGACCGGTTCCTCTTGGACTGTTTCTGACATGACCTGGCCTTCTGTCCTCCAGTACTCTTCTCTGACGCCTCGAAGCGCTGAATCGCGATTGACAGAATTTGTGATGAGGCCAAGAGCGCGCATCTTGTTCATGGTCTCCTCAGCCACGCGTGTCGCCATCTCCAATCGTTCCGCGATCGAGACGGGCTTCGCAAGCCAGCGGTTCGTACTAGTAGCCCAAAGCAGAAACGCCATGCCAATATTCTGCACTGCAAAGATGATATACCGCAGAAACCTTACGCGCCAGTATATCGAATCGATGTTCTGCACGAACTTTGCCCGCTTGTTGACCGTGATGTCGTACGTCGCTATGAACCATATCTCCACAATCAGAGTCGCAAGTCCTATGATGGTCGCGTGCGTGCGAAATCTCGAGCCTTCCGTTCCAACCAACGAAGAGGTAGCCAAGCCGAGCACAGCAAGCTGGAAAATGTGCGGCATGACTATCTTTGGCAGGCTGTACAGGAAGTAGTTGTTGGTATCGTTGCCGTTCGCCGTGGTGCACCACACACAGTTCAGCAATGTGTCCGGACCGTACGCCAGATAGTAGAGCTTGTTGCGCCCGTTGACTTCGAATTTCGATCGTAACGCATGGTCGACCTCCGTAAGCGGTCTGAGGTGCCGCAACCGGGCGAACAATACGCTGGTCTCGGTGCGAATGTGGCTCTGTGTCGCGAGGAATATGTTCTCGGGCGCGAAGCGTGATAGCGACAGAGCCAGGCAGGCGATGGCGGCAACGAAGAGGAGGTTGAGTGCGTTGCTCACCCGCGGTGGAGTCGGCCGTATGGGGACGCTTCGAGACGTTGCGCGGGCGACGTTGAACCAGTCCATGATGCGCGGGAGGACAAAGGGCCCGAACAGTATGAGCAGCGAGTGCACATTCTGTGGCAGGAATGTGAGGCGTGGGATTACGACGTAGGAAATGACCAGCAGAATGATCGAGCGTACGTTGAACATCTTGGCTGTGTGGGTGTCATGGGCGTAGTCGGTAGTTGCACGCGGTGGTCTCTGAACAATGCAAAGTGGTTGACGTGTAGGACATAAGGCCGAGGCAAGGTCGCGTTTGCGTTAGTGGGTTTCCCGGCAACGCCCCTCCGGCCTCGTTCACTTCCACTCTCGATAAGCCAAAGTTTGTTCAACGAAAGGCCTTTTGCAACATCATAACAAGTCATTCATCATGTCAGCAGTCACAGTTAGGAGAAAGTGTATTGGAAGCTGAATGAATTTACATCCTTAAACCTCCATCTGCTTGCGTCTCACCACCTGCAAGCACCTGCCAGTCTGAAGGACTGCGCAATGTTCCCAAAGATTATACCAAAACGCCGTTCAGCATGCACCGAACCTGATGCTATTGATGAACGCCGATGTTGAGATCGTTCATCTCCCCAGATCTCCTTTTTAAACTACCGTAACGACCCAGAATGCAGGTTGAACTTTTGGGTATCATAAGAACGTCATTACACACATTACATGGTAGCATGTTGATATGCCACTCGAAGCGACTGCGTTGATGAAACACAGTCGAGGTTGCCAAATGGCGGGAAATTTAAGAAGAGTACTTCTCGCGGTTGTACTTGGCGGCGTTGACCATGTTGATCAGGGCAGCCTTGGTCTCCTTCCACTGACGGGTCTTGAGACCGCAGTCAGGGTTGATCCAGAGTTGCTCGGGCTTGAGGTACTTCAGCATATCGGCGACACGATCCTTGATCTCCTGCTCAGAGGGAACACGGGGAGAGTGGATATCGTAGACACCAGGACCAATGTGGCGGGGGTACTCCTTGTCCTCGAAGACCTTGAGGAGCTTGGCGTCGCTCTTGCTGTTCTCGATGGAGAGAACGTCAGCATCGAGGGCGGCAATGGCGTGGAAGAAGTCCTGGAACTCAGAGTAACAGAAGTGGGAGTGGATCTGAGTGGAGTCCTTGACACCGGCGCAAGCAAGCTTGAAGGAGTCAACGGCCCAGGACAGGTACTTCTCGCGCTCGGTACCCTTGCGGAGGGGAAGACCCTCACGAAGAGCAGGCTCGTCGACCTGGATGACGTAGATGCCGGCAGACTCGAGGTCAACAACTTCGTCACGGAGAGCGAGGGCAAGCTGCTGAGCCTGGACGGACTGGTGAACGTCGTCACGGGGGAAGGACCAGCGCAAGCAGGTGATAGGACCTGTGAGCATACCCTTCATGGGCTTCTTGGAGACGGAAGCAGCGTACTTCGACTCCTTGACGGTCATGGGAGCGGGACGAGAGATGTCACCAACGATGATCGGGGGACGGACGCAACGGGATCCGTAAGACTGGACCCAACCCTTGGTGGTGAAGGCATAGCCGTCAAGGCGCTCACCGAAGTACTGGACCATGTCGTTACGCTCGGGCTCACCGTGGACGTAGACGTCAAGGTCGAGCTCATCCTGGATCTTGATAGTCTCCTCGATCTCCTTCTCGATGAACCTCTCGTACTCTTCAGCGGTGATCTCACCCTTGGTGAACTTGTTACGCTGGATACGGATCTCCTTGGTCTGAGGGAATGAACCAATGGTGGTGGTAGGGAAGAGAGGCAGGTGGAGGTGCTCCTTCTGCTGAGCGTAACGTGAAGGGAACTCAGACTTGCGCTCGTGCTGCTCGGGTGTGACGCTAGCCTGGCGGTCCTTAACGGCCTGGACATTGGTGCGCTTGGAGGTAGCGCGAGACTGCATCGACTTGGCGTTGGCCTCAAGAGCCTCACGAACGGAAGCAGGGCCCTCGTTCACCGCCTTAGCAATGATAACAACCTCAGCAACCTTCTGGACAGCGAAGGAAAACCAGTCGCGGACCTCATCATCGAGCTTCTTCTCGCTGTCAAGGGAGTGAGGAGTGTGGAGGAGAGAGCTGGAGGTAGCAACAAGGACACGGTCCTTGCCGAGCTTTTGAACAGCCGACTCGACGATCTCGATGGCGTTCTTGAAGTTGGTCTTCCAGATATTGCGGCCGTCAACAACACCAACGGAAAGCGCTTGGTTGGAGCCAAGCTTGCTGGCAACGGTGTCGAGCTGCTCAGGGTTCCTGACGAGATCGATGTGGACGGCAGCAACGTTCTGAATGCTGGGGAAGACGTCAAGGTTGTGAACGATGTCACCGAAGTAGGTGGCAAGGACAAGCTTGGGCAGACCGCTGCCGGTGAGCTTCTCGTAGGCAGGCTTGAAGGCATCCTTGACCTTCTGCTCGAGGTCGAAGACAAGGACGGGCTCGTCGATCTGAACGTACTCGGCACCAGCCTCCTTCAGCTGCTGAAGGAGCTCAACGTATACGGGCAAGAGCTTCTCGAGCAGAGAGATGGGGTCGACGGACTGGTTACGATCGGCCTTACCAAGAGCAAGGAAGGAGACGGGACCAACAAGGACAGGGCGGGTGGTGATGCCAGCCTCCTTGGCCTCCTTGAACTCGCGAACGGGCTTGGGTTCGGAGGCGAGCTTGAATGTCTGGTCATCCTGGAAGGTGGGCTTGACGTAGTGGTAGTTGGAGTCGAACCACTTGACCATTTCCTGCAGTGCGTTAGTGGAAAGGTTACACATAGCAAGGTTTCGCTCGACTTACCAGACTGGGAACATCGACACCATCCTTCTGGTGACCACGGCCCATGGCGAAGTACTCATCGAGAGGGGACAGCTTGGCGCTGGAGTAACGCTCTGGGATAGCCTGTTGTTGTCAGCGGAGTCACTGATGTACGTGCTGGCTGCTGGCTTACGTTGAACAGCTGGATGTGGTCGAGGAGGTGGTCGTAGAAAGCGAAGTCGTTGCTGGGGATGATGTCGACACCGGCATCCTTCTGGATCTTCCAGTGCTCCAACCTCAGACGGCTGGCCTCCTTGACGAGGTCTTCCTGTGAGAGCTTGCCAGCCCAGTAGGCCTCGTTGGCCTTCTTGAGCTCACGGTCCGCACCCATGCGGGGGAAACCGAGAACTGATGAGTGAACCATTGTAATGTATGGCTCTTACGCGATTGAACAAAAGGATATAGAGAAAGAAGACAGGAACTCTCAAACTACAATAGAAGAGTGAGAGAGTATGAGAGGGGTGAGAGTCAATGAAAGAGGGCGGGATGGTGTGCTTTTCAATTCTTTTCTGGCTCCTGCATGGCGGGGTCGGTCTAGTCTACTTTGCTCTCACCGCCTACGTCGCGCTAAGGTAATGGACGACGTGATGATCCTCCTGGGCGTTTACTAACCGATTTATTCTCGCTGCGCGTGGTAGCATCTCGAGTCCACTCGCTGTGGAGCGTTGTGACAACTTCGATTTGTCGTGACGTTACCTGCTAGACGTTGCTGCCAGGTCCCTCCAACAAACAGAGGGTCCCTCATTTGTTTTCTGCCACTCCAACAGCTCCCCACTCCCGCCGAAACCGGAGGGGCTGCGCATTGAACTTTGTGCTCGAGACTCAAATGCATTCAAGGACCCCTGAACACGCTCGGCCAGCTACACAAACTCAATTACTCAGGGAACGTCACAAGCAGTAAGCAACCCAGCATTTGAGCTACTTAGACAAGAAGACAGCATATTAAGTTTGTGCATGCAGCTGGATACTCTACTTGTTGTTCCGCCACCTTGCAGTGGACCCTGTTGATCATGAACTACGTTGAGGCACTAGCATAACATCGTGAGGCTGAACACCAACCTTCCTAGCCTGGGAGTTGAGTTGCTCTCGTGCATTGCCCCTTCAGGTTGGTACGACCAAATTTTGTAGTCTCGTGGCGAGAAGCTCGGCGGCGACAGCGACGATACGACGGCGAAATTCCGTCCGGAGAGCTTTGAGTTGCTCCACAGTAGCTCCCCGCATTGTACATAAGAAATCAATAGCAGCCCCGCCATGGACATAGAAACGTCGCCCATTCCACACAACCTCGAATCCTCACGATAAAGCCACTGCAGATCTCAAGATGTCTAGGCCCCAGCACACCCGAACCGCCTCCACAAACTTGGGCAGCGGCTCCAGCCAGCGTGTTCTTGAGGGAAAGGTCGCGCTTGTCACAGGAGCATCGAGGGGTTAGACAACCGCTCTTCCGCGGAACATCTTCGAGCTTTGACTGATATTTCTAGGTATCGGTGTTGAGATTGCACGCAATCTGGCTAGCAAGGGTGCCAATCTTGTCCTCAACTACACTTCCGACTCGTCTGCCCAGGCCGCCGAAGACCTCGCGAGCGAACTACAAGCCGAGTATGGCATCAAGGCCATCACCGTACAAGCCAACATGGGCTCAGAGACCGGACCCAAGCACGCTGTTGAGGTAGCGGTTAACAACTTCAAACACCCGAAGACTGGCAAGTTCCAGCTGGATATCATCATCAATAACGCTGGCGTCGCTGGGAACAACTTTGTGGAGAATGTCGACGCTGAGGACTTTGCGAGACAATACAATGTGAACGTTCGTGGACCTTTACTGCTCTTGCAGGCTGCCATTCCCTACCTACCAAATGACCGGTCTGGCCGCATCGTCAGTCTGTCATCGGTCAGTGCTTCGTTGGGATACAGGGGCCAGTCGATCTACGGAGGAACAAAGGCTGCACTTGAGGCCATGACAAGAACATGGGCTCGTGAATTGGCGGAGCGCGCGACTGTAAACGCTATCAACCCTGGGCCAGTGGCAACAGACATGTACTGGGGCAACGACGAAAAGTTCATTGCTCAGAACAAGCCCTTCATCGAGACCACCCCGCTCGCGGCCCCCAGGAAGGGAATCGACGAGGACAGGATCTACGAGGCGTCGCAAGGTGCGGGAGGACGACCAGCATACAGTGAGGAGGTTGCAGGTGTAGTCGGTATGCTGTGCCTGCCGGAGGCCGGATGGACGACTGGCAGCGTTATCTGCGCGAACGGTGGCATGAAGTTCAGCGTCTGAGCGTAGTCAGGGATTTTGAGATGCAAGAGTTAGGGCGCATGATAATCTCGATATTCGCTGTCATCGTATATATTCTTTCTGTCATGAGCGTTGGCTATTACGGAGTGGTTGGCGTAAGCAGAACCCAAGTAGCGCCTCTCTGCAACGCGCAAAGGTAGAGTAGACCGAGACATGGTTTGAGAGTCAAGGTTCTAACAAATATAACAAGTATATTTTGCACAGCCGAGACATCCAGTGCATGTCGCGTGGAGACGTGGTTTTCGGTCATTCTCGTGGGGCTGCTGCTGCGCACGTGCATCTTGATGCTGCCATACCACCGAGGTTCCCAACCTCCTCCCTTTAATCCCAAATCCGAACGACCCCAGGATAGGGCATCACAAATCTCTGACAACAAACTCTGGGAGAAACAATAGAGATAACATGATCGCGTCCGGGCCGTTTGTTCAACCTTCGCTCTCGTTCATATGCTGTTGGACGCGCAAGCCACAGATCGGTTGCTGGGGTGATGTTGTTTAATCCAAGGCATCGCCCGCGCCGAGATTGCCTAGCCCTCACTCGCATTCCAGGACGTCCTGCTCCGGCATCATGACGTGCCTTGATTGGACGGCGTGATGACCGTTGAACGGAAACCAAGCGCCACAGTAGCGCGCTGCGCACGCAGGCGGGCAGGCTGGGAGACCGCCTGGCCTCTGTTTACGAACGGCCCGTCCGTTACCAGCCATCTTTGACGGACCCATGCATGAACTGCAGATCTGAGCATACCCCTCGACTCCCACTTGCTACAACGGTCCCAGCACTATCATCAAACATTCTGTACTACGCTATCTCGCCCTACCCCACAGCGTTGTCCATGGGGCGCCGCAAACAGCAATCGAGGTGAACGTCCTCAGCAAGACACTCAAGTCAACACCACGCCATGCGCTTGACCATGGCACCGTCTGCGATCCGGCTTCAGTGGCCCGCCCTATTACATGTCCCACTCCTGCTGTCTGTTTCTGTCGCTCAGATGCCGTATAATCCAACTCGACTCCTTCACAATGGCGACCATCTCTACGTTTTTCAGCCCTCGACCAGGTCGTCCACCCAGTTCCAGCTAGGTTTCATCGATGTCTCGACTAAGATCGATGCCGCCAGTCTGCCGTATACGACTCTCTACCCTACTCTGCCATTTCTGGACGACAAAATTCTACGCGCATTCACGCCAGTACTCGACGATGGTGGAAACCTGACCGTATACACCGGAAACTGCTCGCAGGGCGCGATCGGAGGCGAAGTCTGGAGCTTCACCTCAGCTTCTGGAGACAAGCAGAGCAGCTGGCTTCAGCAAGATGTGTCAGTTGCGAGTGATAAGCACATTGCTACGATAGGAGCAAACTATCTGAGCAACGGCATCTCGTTCTCTAGCATCGTTGGAGGGAGCGCGGCAAATAAAGGGGCTTACTTCTTCGGTGGCATGTGCCCTATCATTGGTGACAGCTCCAACAACTGGCAGTCAGCTGCGAATTACTCGAATCTCATGGTTACCTTGGAGCCGTCCAGCGAAGAGGACAGTGCCGTTACATACCAGATGGACGTCTCGTCAAGTCGAGGCCCACCAATACCAGAAGCTGGTTTCACCATGACCGGACTATCACCCACATACTCGAATCGCAGTGATGGATCGCAGACAAAACAGCAGAACTTTGTTCTGATAGGCGGACACACCAGCGCTGCCTTCATCAACATGTCCCAGGTTGCCTTGTTCTCTTTACCAGAACAAGGATGGACCTTCATTGGCGTCCAACAGCCTGACGCTTCGCACACAGACCTGGCCACGCGCGATGTCACTACTGTCGATCCACGCTCAGGTCACACTGCTGTGTTGTCATCAGACGGGCAACAGATCATTGTCTATGGTGGTTGGGTTGGAGATATCAGCTCCCCAGCGGAGCCTCAACTAGCAATTCTGAACATTGCAGACGGTTACGGCGGCAATGGCAAGTGGCAATGGCTAATCCCAGATAGTAACTCAGGTAATGGTCCTTCGAGCAGCTCCAGCCTTTACGGCCACGGCGCAGTTATGCTCCCTGGTGGCGTAATGATGGTTACCGGCGGCTACTCAATTACGACATCCGGATCACGACGACGAAGAGCCACCCCGACTGCGAATACGAAGGCGTACTTTCTCAACGTTACCTCCAATTCTTGGATCGCTGACTACTCCCCGCCATCTGGACCTTCGAGCTCCGAGCCAGCACCGACAGGACCTTTATCTAGCCCAGGCCAAAAAGCAGGGCTGGGTGTCGGAATCGGAATCGGGCTGGCTGCTGTATGTGGCTTATTCGCCTTTTATATGTGGTACACCAGGCGGCTACAAAAGCAACGTGGCCTACGGGAGAAGCAGCTGCAGGATCTTTCGTTTGCAGCTCATAGATATAACATTGATGGCTACTCCCCCGCATTTGATGGCCGGGGAGGTCATGTAGACGCAATGGAGTATCTTGCTAGTCAGAACGGATCTTACTACTTCCCGCCGGGTAGTCAAGGTGGTCAAGGCTGGAAGAGCGCACATGGACAAGACGCGGAGAGGACAGGCCTTCTTCTCGAAATTCCCAGCCCCACTCGAGGGTTGCGACGCAGTCTTAGCGGAAAACCTGCATATGCAATGGGTGCGGTTCGGGGCCCAGGCCAAATCCACCCGATTGACGAGCTGGAAGAAGAGGAAGAAGAGGCTGAGAAGACTACTGACAAGACTTCTCTGACTGAAAGACATGAGATGAGTGAGCGAAGGGCGGATCCAACCTCATCAGTGTTCGACAACGCGCCACACCTTGATCCTTTCTTTCATGCTCAGCGCCAGAGCGGTGCTAAGAAGACTGTCTTCCGTTCTGCCTCCTCTTCTCCGGTATTGGAGGATGTCAAAGATCACGATGAGCTGATGGCCGAATGGCCTGGACCTAGTGCAACTGTCAATCGCCGTTCGAATACAGTCTCTACTGGGAACATTGCCCCCGACAAGTCCTTATCGGATGAGCGTACAAACTCAAACCTAAGCGAGAGGAGTACGCGATCAAACCTTTCATGGACATCTTCGCACGGCAGTCTTGCCAGGAGTGCGTCCGTACGCGCGGCTAATATCACCGCCACCGCTCAATCAAATCCATTTCGGTCACCAGATGCTAGCCCCACCCACGACAGACCACGCGGATACAGCGAAAGTAGTAGAAAAACTCCAGCAGATCCACGGACGCAGTCGTTCAGCAGCGTGCGTAGCAATGGCTATGCAGACATTGAGTCGTTCAGGACTGCACAATCTTCTTTCGCTCACCTCCAAGCCGAAGGTGAGGTGTTACTTGGCGAAAACCTGGAGAACATCCGTCCTGGTACTTCGTCAACCTCAAATGGATCGAATTCGCATACGTTTGGGGACACGGAAGCAAGCAACAGCCGTGCTGCAACAGCCACGCCGGCGACCTCTTATGCGCTGAACATGTCACGCCCAGAGAGTCGAGACGTGAGGAAGAGTTGGTTAGGCAGTGTACGGAGAGTGCTACGCAGGTCAGCCTCGGGCGCTGACCGAACTCGATCCCTCACAAACACAATCTCCTATCATGAGCCCTACACAGATAACCCTGTCTCACCAGTCGAGGCTTCGACGATCGACAATCGCAAGTCTTTCCCGTCCAATCTACCACCTCGAAGGGCCGCCTCCGATGCAAGCTTCTGGAAGAGTAGACGAGGCAAACATGACTGGGAAGAAGAGCTAGAAATTAAGTGGACACGGAATAGTGGTGACGATTGGGGTGCACCAGAAGATATTGCTCGAGCGGAGGAGGATCGTATGCGACAGGAGTGGCGAGATAGAGGCAACTTGCTTGTTAACCTGACGTCTGACGATGAGTTACCCACACCACGCACACCAATAGCACCGAGCGAACTGGGCATACCAAGCGTGGATCACCGGCCCTGTACTCCTGCTGATGAAGGCGACTGGGACGTCGAGGCCGCTGTTGAGCGTCGTGTCGTTCAAGTAATGTTCACAGTGCCCAAGTCAAAGCTCCGCGTCGTCAACGCCGATCCTGATGGATCTAGCATTCTCTCACTCCCTCGTGAGAACTCTAAGGAGGGCGACAATCTCCTAAAAGGCGACACGAATGGCTCGCCTAGCCGAGTCAAGGATCTGGCCGGCAAGTTTGAGCAGATGTCAGGTTCGAAGATTTCGTCCCCACGAATGACACCTAGGGCAAGTCCGGTGCCAAGTCCATCCCCAAGCGTCAGAAGCATGAAGGTCCGGGCGAAACGTAGCTCAACTTCTTTGAACAGGCAAGGCTTAGGCCAAGGCAACCCAACGAGGCCTCTGGCAGACCTTAAGGCGAAGGACAACATTGTCGAAAAGTGAATATACTTCGAATAAGCGAGGCTCGAGCTGGGTCTGTTCATGGAGTTTATTTTGCTGTATATTTTGTAAATCGTGCGCTAGCCACTTGGGTGGTTACTTGATACGATGTTCATGAATGAGCGTTTGGCGTTGGTATAGCCTTTGAATAATGGTGTCGAAGAGGCATGAGCTACGTCACCAGGGTACATAGCACTTTATGCGCTCTTAGTTCATTGAAAACATCTCTACAGATATGTGTTGTCGGTTTGTCTGTTTACAGGTGGGTCGCCGCGACCTGATTCATCGAGTCAATTAGACGTGATCAATTAGCTCCTTCTCATCCTCGCCTTTTGCGCGCGGCCATCACCAGATCGTTGATCCACTTCGATATCGCGAAGTAACACCAGCCGCATCTCCAACTTGACGTTGCAAGCCATGCCAGCAAAAAGTTGGCCAACGGATAGGCCAGTTCCCAAGACACCGAACACTGATGTCCCGCATCTATGGGCCAGATACTTGCGTCGATCCAGCCTGTCTCGTTGGGTACCTGAGTGATTGATTGATCGGTTTAACATCCTATTTGAGTCTAAAACTATGGAAGACGAGAGAAGCTGTAGCTCTTCTGGTGATGCAAAGATTTAGTTACATGAGAGTGAGGTCAATGGAGGTACAAGGGATGGTGAGGGCTCAGGCCCAAAGCAAAATTGCTGGAAACAAAAGAAGTACAGAACAAATGTCACAGGTATATACTGTTTGGCTCCCAGTACCCATATCTATTGGGTTACTGTACCTTTTTGGTCGGTGTAGCTCAGGTGGGACCAAGCCGAGCCCTCACAACAAACTGTTGAAGTTGTGTCTTGAGCAAAGCTTGTAGACACTATTCGATTGGTTCTCGGGGATGAGCAGAGGTACAGAAAGCCGTCAGGGGTTGGTTATCACTGAGCAAGCTTGGAGCGGCAGAGGTTTGACTGTGATAAACCGCCATGATAATCAGGGGGTAGTCGTCTAGTCGAAGACCATGGCAACTGGTTGCAATGAGTAGTACAGAGTATACTGTCTGGCTCGAGAGCAGGTGAGATTCCAATAATGTCACGAAGATGCTACGAGTAGGCCCTTTAGGACTTGCTAGGAGTCTAAATCAATTACCACGTACGGTATCTAAGTAGGTACAAGACGTTGTGTACCGAACAGAACTCTACCAGCAATAGTCTATATACTTACGTGTGGGTTCATTCAGTTACCGGTTAATAATCAGAACTGAGTTGGATAGGTATCGGGGTTGCAAGTCCCAGAGCGGGGCTTGCAGAATTCTAATACTCC